TAATACAGTATGTAAAAATAAAGGCTTTCATGGGAATTAAAATGAAAGAGTCCTTTCAGAGTTCCAAAAATATTACCCAGACCTTGCCAAGATTAATATGGTCAATGTTTCCATGAAAAGCATAATTTCATGGGAGTTATGCTTGTTCAGATGTGTACAAAAAATACCTACTTAGTTGTCCTTTCTGATAAACACACCATAGGAAGATTAATTTGGTTGATCATATGGTACTATTCACATTACCATTAGTGATCATAATGCAGTGTTTGTCCACATTAAAAGGTTGGAGTTTTGTTTTTTCTAGTTTAACATCAAAGATAACAATATTGTGGACTTGTAAGTCTTTATCCTTTATACACTTATGTAGTGCTTCCACATGTCTGAGGAAGTTTGGTAGATATTATTACTAATTCTTTTCCAATTTTTAACAAGGAAGAAAGTGAAGCTCAGAGAACTTAAACAACTTAACCAAAACCATATAGCAAGTAAATGTGAACTAAAATTCAGGTCTCCAAGTCCAAATTATTTTCTGTCTACTAAAATACTTCTACAACATACCACAATTATAATAAAATTGAATAATGTGAAGCAGTGGGTTGCATTGAACATAGTTATAGCCAAAGACTACACTTTTTTGTAATGTTATGCCTTAATTTTCAGAACTTGCATTGGCCATTTCACACGGTAAAGAAAACAAAGCTCTTGGAAACAAGGTCAAATCTAGACTTGGAGTCTCTGGGTCTGCCCAGGAGAGCTTGAGGTGACTGGGGCATTCACAGAAACGATGCTGCTTTTGAGAGATAGCATCGGGAAACCAACACTGCCGGCTCATTAGCGCAAATTCTAATCTGGCTTTGTGCGAGATTTTCCACTCAGTCCTTAGTTATTGTCCTTTGGTGGAGAGATCTGGGAAATGATATTTGAGTGACCTCATTCTTCTAAAACACAGGCTTAAGCCAGAAACTGAATTCTGCAAAATGGAAATGGCTTGAGGGGAAAGGAAAATGTGAAGACTACACTAGTCAGAGAAGTTGTTGGAGTGAACAAATGAAACAGGATTGTCTCAGTATTGAATTTGACTTTCCTTCTTACGATCAATTAACAGGTGATGAAGTTCTGAGTGAACTGGTTAGGATTTACCACATATAAAAGTATTAGATTTGGTGGGCTGTAAATCAATTTAACTTTTATGAAAAATTAAATTTCCTATAAAGTAGCCATTTAAATGTGGCACAAAACCATGCAAAATACGTAAGACTTGAATCATATTCCACTTGAATATATTTGCATCAAATTTTCCATAATACCTGAAGGTAAAATAGACTTCAAAAACATTACCAAGATATTGGTTTAATTAAAAGGTGAGAATAAATAATAATCCTGAAACATCACAGAATAATAGTGTCTCAATTATAATAGAATTTACCATGTAATATTTTCTATAGAATTAGACCAGAATTGTCAAATATAAAGTGTGAATTTATTTGAATATTTCACTGCTGTTAAAGACAGACACACACACATACAAAAAGATATCATGAGTCTAAAGCATGTCTAGATCTATGGGAAAAGTAACATAATATCTGTGGTAAATTTATACAGCTATGTTATATCAGAATACAGAAACTGAGTTTCCTCCTTGTAAAAAGCAACAACAACATAAAAGTGCTGCTTAATGCTCTTTGGTGTGATGTGGTATACCAAAAAGGAGGCTAACAATCCAGCTTGACAACTAGGTTCATATCTTGGGCCTGTAAATAGGCAGATTTTGTCATCTTTCTGGGTCTCAGTTTGCTCATCTGTGTAATGGGGTTGGTAATAAAATGACATGAGTCATTTGACATTCAGCAGGTGTTCAGTAATGATATGTTCCCTTTTCTACCTTTGGTACGATTGTTCCATGTAGTGGTGTAAGTTTTGGAATCTAATACCTGGTTTGCTAGCATGGGTAGAACTTTCTAAGTTGAATATCATTAATTAGTGTCCTGTAATACTTTTGACAACCATATTTTTTGCAATTTGAAATTTTATGGAATATAAATTTTAATTTTAATTTTGTCACTTTCTCTAATATGTGAATCACAGACTGATTCATTTTAAAATACTGAATTTTTGCATGCCAGAAATTTTCCATAGCTTTACAAATAATTTAGAAAAAAATACTATTTACAAATTTTTTTTTTTTTTTTTTTTTGAGACAGAGTCTCACTTTGTTGTCCAGGCTAGAGTGAGTGCCGTGGCGTCAGCCTAGCTCACAGCAACCTCAAACTCCTGGGCTCGAGTGATCCTTCTGCCTCAGCCTCCCGAGTAGCTGGGACTACAGGCATGTGCCACTATGCCCGGCTAATTTTTTATATATATATATATCAGTTGGCCAATTAATTTCTTTCTGTTTATAGTAGAGACGGGGTCTCGCTCTTGCTCAGGCTGGTTTTGAACTCCTGACCTTGAGCAATCCGCCTGCCTCGGCCTCCCAAGAGCTAGGATTACAGGCGTGAGCCACAGCGCCCGGCCTATTTACAAATATTTTTGCTTGTCCACTACATTTTCAATACTTTCAATTAGCTCTATTCTGTATTCAGATCGTAAGCTTCTTTGTCATTTGGCAAAGAAGGATAGGTGAAATGAATGAATACTGTATTATAACCAAGCAGAGTTACACACTCTCTTTAAAATATTTTTTAATTTTATTAATTGACACATAATAACTATACATAATTATGGGATACACAGAGATGTTTCACTACATATGTACAGTGATCAAATCAGAGTAATTAGCATATCCATGATTTCAAACATTTATCATTTCTTTATGTTGGGAACATTCAATATCCTCTCTTCTACCTCTTTGAAACTATATTATTGGTAGCTATAGTCAGGCTACAGTGCTATAGAAACTAGAACGGATTCCTCCTATCTACCTGTAATTTTGTATCTTTTAACCAATCTCTCCTTTTTCTTCCTTCACTCTGTGCTTCCCAGCCTCTAGTAACCACTATTCTACTCTGCTTCTATGAGATTAACTTCCTTAGTTTCTGCAGGACTGAGAACATGCGGTATTTATCTTTCTGATTCTAGCTTATTTCACTTAACATAATGTCCTCCAGTTCTATCCATGTTGTGGCAGATGACAGGATTTTGTTCCTTTATTATGGCTGAATAGTATTCTGTCATATATATCATATACCACATTTTCTTTACCCATTCATCTGTTGCTGGATCCCTACTTTAATTCCTTATCTTGGCTATTGTGAATAGTGCTGCAATAAACCTGGGGGTGCAGATGTCTCTTCAACAGGATGATTTGATTGCATTTGGATAAATGTCCATCACTAGGATTGCTGGATCATATGGTAATTCTATTTGTAGTTTTTTCAGGAAATTTCATACTGTTCTCCATAATGGCTGTAGTAGTTTACATTTCCACCAACAGTGTATAAGAGCTCCCTTTTTCTTCATCCTTGCCGACATTTGTTGTTTTTTGTCTTTTTGATAATAGCCATAGTAATGGGGTGAGATGATACCTCATTGTGGTTTTGATTCACATTTCTTTGATGATTAGTGAGGGTGAACATTTTTTCATTTTGGCCATTTGTATGTCTTCTATTGAGAAATGTCTGTTCAGATTATTTGCCTATTTTTTAATTGGATTGTTATTTGCTGTTGAGATGTTTGGGTTCTGGGCATATTCTGGATTTTAATCCATCATTGGATGAATAGTTTGCAAATATTTTCTCTCATTCTGTAGGTTGTCTTTTCACTGTGTTGATTGTTTCCTTTGCTGCGTAGAAGCTTTGCATTTTGATATAATCTCATTTATTTAGTTTTGCTTTTGTTGCTTGTGATTTTGACGTCTTTTTCATAAAATCTTTGCCTAGACCAATGTCTTGGAGAATTTTTCTCTTATGTTTTCATCCAGTAGTTTTATAGTTTTTGGTCTTACATTTAGGTCTTTGACTCATTTTGTATTGATTTTTGTATAGGGAGGTGGGGGGGGTCTAGTTTCATTCTTTTACATATGGATATCCAGTTTTCCTAGCACCATTTATTGAATAGACTGTTCTTTCTCCAACAAATGTTCTTGGCACCTTCATCAAAAATCATTTAGCTGTAAATACGTGGACTAATTTCTGGGTTCTCTCTGTTCTATTGGTCTATGTGTCTGTCTTTATGCCATTCTGCTTTGGTTCTACAGCTTTGTAGTGTATTTTGAAATCTGGTAGTGTGATGCCCCTAATTTTGCTCAAGATGGCTTGGGCAATTGGAAATCTTTTGTGATTCCATATGAATTATAGGATTATTTTTTTCTATTTCTGTGAATAATGTCATTGATAGTTTGACAGAGATTGCACTGAATCTGTAGATTGCTTTGGGTAATATAATCATTTTAAAAATATTAATTCTTCCAGTTCATGAATATTGGCTATCTCTTTTTTTTTTACATGTGTCATCTTCAATTTATTTCATCAGTGTTTCATGGTTTACTTGTAGAGATTTTTCACCTTCTTAGTGAAATTTATTCTTAAGGATTTTTTTGTAGCTACTGTAAATTGGATTGCTTTCTTGATTTCTTTATTTAGCCAGATCATTGTTGGTGTACAGAAACATTACTGAGTTTCATATATTGATTTTGTATCCTTCATCTTTATTGAATTTGTTTATGAGTTCTAAGAGTTTTATTGGTAGAGCCCTTAGGTTTGTCTATATATAAGATCATACCATCTATAAAGAGGGATAACTTGTCTTGCTCTTTTCCAATTTGGATGCTTTTTATTTCCTTCTCTTGCCTGATTGCTCTGACTAGGACTTTCAGAAGTATGATGAATGGAAGTAGTGAAAGTGGACATCTTTGTCTTTTTCCAGTTCTTACAGGGAAGGCTTTTAGATTTTCCCCATTCAGTGTGATGTTCTCTGTGGGTTTGTCATACATGGTCTTTACTGTTTTGAAATATGTTTCTTCTATATCAAACTTATTGAAAATTTTTCATCATGAAGGGATGCTGAACTTTGTCAGTACTTTTGCTGTGTCTATGGAGATCATCATATGGTTTTTGTCCCTCACTCTGTTGATATGATGTATCAAAATGCACTCTCATTTGGTAAGAATGGGACCATGACCATTTCTGATTTTAGGATTTTAGGAGCCACATTCTCTGAACTGCCAGCATAATTATTTAGAGTCTGATAAAATAGGGATTCAGAGAAAATGATCCTTCATAAACATAAGATTTCATGCTCTGAATTTTTCTCAGTTACAGTAATATTGGAGGAGTTTCCAGATTTCAGAATCTTGGTCTCCCACATTTCATTTTATCAGAATAAAAAAACTCCACAGAGACTTTAAGACTGAACCACATTAAAGATAACTTGGCCAACACAATCAAGCTCTAACTGCATGTTTTAATGTCTAAGGTTCCTTGTGATGGCTTGTGTTTAAAACTTACGAAACTGTTTTTTTTTTCTACTGATGTGTAAAACTGTAGGAGCCACTTCTCAATGACTTTTCTTCATGCCCATAAAAATCCTATATATTTTTTCCTTTATTTTTAAATCAGTTAATACATTCACATATTCAATTAAATATATTAACTTTTTAAGCTTTATGATAGTACTATAATATTAGCTTTAGCCTTAAAATATGCCTTATGCATAACTCTGCATAAGATAAAATTGTATACAATTATTTACGAGACATTTTGGATTTTTCATTAAGTTCATAGTAACAAATCAGTATGATTGACTTTGGGTGAAGTGAGACTACATCAAATCCCCCCAAACAGACTGACTTCTCAATGACTAAAAAAAAAGATTCAAGTTGGGTTAAAAAGATTTGTTGTTTCCATTATCCCTATTCTATCACTTTCCTTTAATAACAGTATCCTGAGTTTCTTGTGGTAAGCCATGACATCTCTCTTTACTCTCAGGCCAGGTGATTTGAGGACTTCCAATGCCTTCTCCAGGCTCCAGGTAATACTGGTCTGGACCATTGGCATATCTTGGGGCTCTGGCTGCAGTGGTTGGTTTAAGTATAGTTACATGACCCAAGGTGTTCAAAGGAGACTTAACCACAGGATTTTTGTTGAACTGTTGAGAAAAAAGGGGCTTTCTTTCCTACAGGGCTGCTGAGCTGCTAAAAAGTAAGCCTGGGAAACTGAGAGACATCTTGCCACCACATCAGAAAACTGTCCTAGAATGAAACTAACATCTTGAAAACCAGAGCTTAAACATAAAGACAGATTCCTTACAACAGCATTCTATCCAGTTTGCCTGAAGTAGTATCTGCCACTGGACTTACAGATAATGTGGGAAAACACATTCCTTTTTTTACTTGGCTGGTTTGTTGTAGCAGTTTTTAATTGGATTTCTGTCACTTGCAACCAGAATAATCCTGATCAACATCACAGTCTTTTAAGAGATCTGAAAGAAACTGCATTACTCAGTGTTCTTAGGCATAAAACAAATAATAATATAGAGAAAAGTGTAGTAATTTAATTGCGACTTTGTGCTTTGATCTACCTGGAATGTCCTTGACCCAACCTACCATGATAACGTTAACTATTATCCTGACATTCATCTTCAATGAAATAAAAAGGTACTATTACAATGCTTTTCTTCACAACCTAACTATGGCCAAGAAGCAAGCTAATAAGCTTTAAGGAAGTTCTAATTGGCATCAAATTTAAGTTGTTTATAACTCAAGTGATAGTATCCCAGGGTACAGAGTCTGACAAAGGTGAGTGCCTTCCCCCGGACACACCAGGCTCACCCCTTCTCTTGTATATGGCATCCCCTTCCTACTTATTGATGTTCACACACCGTTCCTTCCACCTGGAATATTCTTTGCTCTTCTTTGTACCTAATGAACTAGTATTTATCCTTTGCATTTCAGTTCCAAGAAACATCCCTGGCCCCTGGATTGGATTAGGTCCTCCGTGAGCAATCACATACCTAGTGTGTCTCCTTCTTAGTACTTTGACTATTCGTGGTTTATTTGTAATTATTCATTTAACATTTGTCATCTCTGCCAGACTGTATACACCATGAGATCAGGGAATTCTGGTCTGCCTACTACTGCCTTCCAACACCTAGTCTGATTCCTGGTGCAAACAAAAAAAATTCTCAATAATAATTTTCCTGTAGCATACACAGCCCCGTTTGCCTAGGATCACCGTCTTCATTACAAAGACTTGTTCTTCTCTGAAGCCTTCACTTGGCCCTGCCTATTGCTCCAGTATGTGCACTGGGCAGGGAGTTTGACACCTTTGCACTTCTTCTAACCTTTCTTTCTTTGCTTCCAGGTTCTCTCCAAACTCTTCTTTTCCCAAGACATCCATTGCTCATTTAATGCACTGAAAATGCTAGCTATATTTTGAGGAGTATGCCCTTATGACATGTTACTAAGTAGATATAGTAAATTTTTTCATGTCTGCTCTTACTTAGAAAGCAACCAAAATTTGCCTCAGGCATTTCTTTTTTTTTTTTTTTTTTTTTTTAAGAAATCATGCTGTCCAACCAGTCTTCCAGCTCTTCCTCGGTAACATTTTTTGATGTTCATGGTTGCTCAGGTTCCACGTTCTTTTTTCAGTCACAGATGGTTTTGCAGAAACTTTTTCCTCTTGGGCCGCCTCACCAGCTTTCTCAGATTTCAGGTCCTGAGAGGTCTGATCCAGAAAGACGTCACCTCCCTCTTTTGCTGGCACATCTAAACTAAGCGACAGATCTAGTTCTGCTTCCAGGTGGTCTGCTGCTGACTGCGCTGGGGAAGCGGGTTGCTGAGAACCCCAAGCAGGACCTGGACTCAAGCTGTCTTTGCCCAGGGACACGGCAGATTTCAGCTCAGAGATGGGCCCCCTTCCTCCAGGCCCCAAGGGCCCCTGTAGTTGCATCCCTAGTCCCTTGCCACCATCACTTCTCTTTGGTTTCACTTGGGGAAGCCCCAAAGGAACCGTGGCCTGAACCAACTCAGCAGCAACATTGAGTGGCAGCGAGACGGGCAGTTCTTGAAGGGCTCGAACCAGTGACTCACTATCCACGTAAAGTGCTGGGTTCTGTTTTGGACACGACGCTCCACCATCCCATGCTTTCTCCTCAGCAAACCGGAACTGTGAGGAGAAATCCCCTCAACATGGATGAGTACTTAGTGGGCGAACAGCAAGGTGGCTGCAGGACAGAGCCAGCAGGAAACTCTATGTTTTCTTATGCAAAACAATTATCTCTGTTAGAATCCTAATTTGGAGAGCTCAAATGGTACTTAGGTGTATCCCTGAATACTTTGGCAGATTGCAGTGTTCCCTGACCTAGCGACAGCACTTCCTTGGTTCCGAGGGTGGTACAGTCTTGACATCAAGGGAGCAAGGGGCTAGAACACAGCCAGGCCCCCAGAGGACTATGCCAGCTGCTCACAGGATGCAGCGTGGACAGTGTGGTCTCATCCATCCATCAGTTTCGTAGCAGGTCACCCGGGGCCTTCACGACAACCTCCATCATAAAGCTGAAAATGGCATCTCCATTGATATTTTGACTTCAAATAAATGTAATATATAATGAGTATATATAATATACACACTACAGCCTATGAGTAAGACAAAATGTCTCCTAACTTTTAAATCAAAATTATCCTTTGCTTTTTTAGTGTGAGTTTTTTGTTTGTTTGTTTGTTTGTTTGTTTTTGAGATAGGGTCTCACTCCATTGCCCAAGCTAGAGTTCAGTAGTGTGATCACAGCTCACAACAACCTCAACTCACAGGCTCAAGCAATCCTCCTGCCTCAACCTCCCAAGTATCTGGGACTATAGTTGCACACCACCATGCTGGGCTAATTTTTCTTTTTGTAGAGATAGGGGTGTCACTCTTGTTCAGGCTGGTCTCAAACTCCTGAGCTCGAGCAATCTTCCTGCCTCAGCCTCCCAGAGTGCTAGGATTATAGGCGTGAGCCACCGTACCCAGCCTATCCATTCATTTTTGAAATGCTAAAATGATGCCATATTAAAGTATAACAGTTAGAAAACTTTGAACCATCCAGATTGTAGTCTCATTTTAACAATATAACTTACACAAGAGCTGCTGTCTCTTCAATTTCCCAATCTATAAAGGTGGGATGTCACACTGAGCTTTTATACATAATAACTAATAACAAGCCTAAGCGTCTATACTAAGTAATAAAGATAAATGGTGGTTTTCCTAGCTCCTCTATAGGAGAGCACACAAATTATCCTGACAATTTATTTTATGTCTAAATCATCCCAGTACTTATCTATACACTTTCTTTACTCTGCCACCACCTCCCTCCTCCACTCCCAGTACAATGTGGTTCTGTCACTTGTAAGATACCAATGAAGTAAGAGCCAATTTCAGAACATCTCTTGCAGAGTCCTTGTGAAAATGGCAGCCTCTTGGGGATGACATTCCCATTTAATTCTTCTCAAAATACTCTGAAAAGAATTTCTTCTAATAATTTTGAAGCATCAATATTTAGGAATAAAAAGAACCTCTAGATGACTTCTGGAATTTTCCCCTTTTTGTAAGAGCAATTTTATTTATTTTTTTATTTTTTTTGTGAGAGCAATTTTAAAAGATACAATCTCATCTTCATACTCCTGTGCTTCCAGTACAACATCTGAGCTTGTGCCAGTAAGCAAGAATGACTGCTGACATGTCACTACACTGATTTTGATGTGATGTTTGTGAATATGGAAATCATCAGAAACTAGAATCATTTATCTTGAGTGTTAGTGATATGATCTGTAACATTCATCTATGTATGTTTTCGTCACCTTTTAAACAATATAAATAAAGTGAATAATAAGTTAGATAGATTATCATTTTTAAAAAAAATAAAATGGGAGCACAATTAGAGGGAAATAAGCCTGACCAAGGAAATTTCTGGAAGAGAAGCTGATTTTGTGGATTATGCCATCGTACCTGCTAGAATTTCACCCATGGCCCAGAGGCGTCCGCCTGGTCCTGGTGCATCACATGCACAGCACTCGGGAGGGTCCCTCGCTTATTGCCTTAGAAAGTCGATGGAAATATTTGTGAGAATGACCAAAGTCACACTTTGGAATAAGAGCTATCTTCAAGTTGTTATACAATTTACTTCACTAGATGTCATGAATGGCAACCAAGGCTAATAGTGTGACGTTTTTATTTACACTTTCAATTTCTCCATATTAAGGAATAATCTTTCATCAAGTCTGATTGAGAGGTTAATCTCCTTTGTGGTTTGGCCAGGATTCCTCATTGTTTTCCTGTGCCCAGATTCCGCTTATCATCTTGTGCACATTCCAGGATTTAACCCACACCAGTGGACAGCAGAATGTATCTTTATTGATATTATTTACAGAAGATTCTTATTCTCTACCCTAGCAACATGTTAAACCTACTTTAAGTACCAAATCTGCCAGGGAATGATATTTTCCTGTGTTTTCAGAGACTTGCAACTTGTCATTTGTCCTCAACATTTTGCTCATTTATTCTCCTTGCACTTGCTTGATATTAAACATCCCTCCAATAATTTTGATTCATTGGGAACATAATCACAAGCTTTCCATCTATGCTTCACTTATCTTATTGTTCTATCTTCTCATAAGAACATCCTGTGCTTTGTTGTTTTTTTTTTTTTTCTGTTCCATTTTTTCTACTAGAGACTAGGTTTAAAAATATTCTCCACTGTACATGGAAGATAATGTTTACACCCACAATCTTGGAAGAACTGCTCCCTAATCATCTAACCAATTATAATTAACCTAATGCATTAATTTGGCAAGTGTAAGATGTGACACACACATAGAATTAAGGCAGTACAACTAAGAAAGAAATTACTAGCTATCCAGACTTTGCCCCACGCTTTGACAATCAGAAACTCTGGGTTTGGGGGCCAGCTCTGCAAATGACTTTGACATAGCCAGAGATGAGAATCATCAAAACAAATTTTGTTAAGGAGTAATGCCACAAAAAGTACAATATGGGGTAGCTTCAAGATGGGCCCCAGAACTGACTGGGGCTGGCAGTGGGTACCCTGATTCTACAGCAGCCCTGAGCCGTGGTTCCCACATTGGTCGCACACTGAATGACCTGACTGCTTCCAGAAAGTGCTGGGCCTGGCCCTGCCCCAGACCATACACACATACCCATGGCTCTTGGTCTTTGTTGTGCATCAGGATGGTCTGGGAATAGTGACAGGTGTGTGGGGTCCAACCCTTGGAGATTCTATTTCAAGTGGTCATGGGCAGGGTCCAGGGGTGGCAAATCTTGATAACGGGATAGGTGCTGCCAATGACTGGCCAGCATTAACTAACATTGGCGTGTGTCACATGTGTGCATACACACACAGAGATACAGGATAAATACATATTTTAACATAGGCTCTACACTGGGGCCACAGCTGAGAGCTAATACGGGTGTGTGTGCCTGGCTTCCTGCTGAGGCCTCCAGAGATCTGTTTATTTAAGGCAGCCCACTGTAAGGGAAGAAGGGTCCTGGTAAGTTAAGCCAGTTGTGGGCAAAGCCTTAGTCACGGGGGTGGGAGGCGTGTGCCCAAGAGCACCCAGGAGTCCGCCTTTCAGCTCTGTTCCTGCCCCGGTTCCACAGACTTGGTCCTACAAGAAGGAGAACTTTAAAGAAAAAAGGAAAAGGGAAAAAACCCAGCTCTTTCAGCTTGCACTAGCCAACAGAAAGAAACAGAGAGCCATAAACATTCTCCCCACTTCTCCCCAGATGACCTTCGAATTGGCCTTTGCACAATGAGTCCTCTAGTTGGGGAAAAATAGGGAAATATTAGGAACGGTTGACATTGTAAAGTATCACCCCACTAAACACTGTCCATGTTCTGTAACATGGAGCTTTGCGAATCGTGACCATCATATGTTATGGGTGGATTTTTTATTTTTTCTTACAAAGGTCCTCTTAGTAAGGTCCCCTGCATTTGTAAAAGCATCTTCAGTTTGGATGCATGACACGAAAAGAGAACTGCAGTGCAAATGGTTTGCAAATCCTCCCTGATCATCCTAGAAACTTTAACTAGGTCCAGGGCCTTCCATGATTGACTTCAGATCAAAGCATTCTTTGCTTATTTTGCTACCCAAGAACATAGCATTTATACAGTCTCCGGAGGTGTCAGCAGCTGGTGAGCTACCTTAGGCTCTGCTGGCACCCTCCATTAGGGACCTTTCTGACCTTCTATTCCCCTGAACTGATGAAAACATAGCTGTGTTAGCTTGAATAAATATTTCTTAACTGCCCACTCTGGGGGAAATGCTGTGTGAAATGCTTTCTTGCTTGATTTATTTATTCAACACATATTTATTAAGTGTTGATTACGTGCCAGACACTTTTGTGGGCATTGAGGATACCGCAGTGAACGAAATAGACAAAAGCTCCTTCATGGAGCTTATGTCTTAGCAGGGCGCTGACGATAAACAAGGTGAAAACACCAGGCATGTCGGACAGCGATAAGAGCAGGGGAGGGAAATGATGTCAGGAAGGGGGAAGGAGGTTGTGATTTTTACTAGGACAATAAGGAAAGGTCTGTGTGACATTTTAGCAAAGACTGAAGGGTGTGTCTGAGGGAGGGAGCTGCACACAGAGGCGGCAGTGGGAACTTGGGGTGCTCAAAATGGAGATTACGGGGAGTCTACAACAGTGACTGGGAAAAGGCAGAGAAATTCCAGATCAGCAACCTGACCTTGAGAACTTCACAGTTTCTTTAGAGAGAGGTTTCTTAACATGAAATCCTTGGAAGTAGGTCATAAAAGATGGATTCTGCCATATGGTTCCCCCAAGCAAGTGCTTTCTGTGTTAAAATACTGAATGACATCTCTCTTAGCTCTTGCCCAATGAGCATTAATCAGACAACGGGTTGGTAACTCTTAAAGTGAAGGCAAATTTCCAGACTCACCATCACCCCTCTCGCCAAAGATTTCCTCAGCACCTACTGTGTACAGTTTACTCCGCCAAGTACAGGAAGAGGCAGTGGCGTGAATGTGAACTTCCTGAGCCGGTAAGTCCTGTGCTATCCGTCGCTTGGAATTTAGGGCGCCTGAGATGACCGCTAGGGAGGAGCCTGGCCAGAGCCGATCTGCACAGGTTTTGTGGCTGATGCGGAATGAGCGAGGATGTTTTGAGGATGAGTGGGTAGAAAGAGAGATGAGGAGGAGAATTTGGCCTTGGTGTGTTCATGTCTTACCTGGACCTATGGAAGTGTACGCAGACAGAGGTTGTGGGAGAGGGTACCCTTGGTGGACTGAAGACCCCCAGGAAGGCCCACAGCTCAGGCTCCCTGGCACGCAGCTTCCTGGGCATTGTCCTCTTCTGTCCTACTGTGATAGGGACAGCAGCCACATAAGGAGACTTGCCTGCGTGGGGCTTTGAGGACAAGAGACGTGAAAGGAGGGCATGCAGGGCAGGGAACAGAGGGCGTTGGTGGGACATCCCAAAGCTTCCCAGCAATAGCTGAGTGGAGCACCGGGCATTGCAAGGCGGTGCTGCCCAGAGAGCACGTGTCTGTAGGAAGAGGCTAACACCAGCCCGGCAGGTCACTGTCGCGAAGGGGAAGGGGGGGAATGCACAGACTGGTCAGCTCTGCAGAAACCAGGTATGGATAAGCATAGCACAGGTATAGGTATAGGTAAACCTAGTAAAGGTATAGGTAAACCAGGTATAGGTAAGCATAGCACAGCCATAGGTAAGCATGTGTTAGCGCATAGCCCAGCACTGTGTAATTTATAGTAAATCTTTATGGAATGGAAATGAATTATATATCCAGTCTCTCTCTGGAAATTGATTTGAAGATTTGAAACACAAGGTAGCAGAAGGTCAGTGTCAGAAAGATACAGGTATTTGATTCAAAGGAGAGAGAAATGCTGAAACCCAGAGTAAGAGCAAAGCCTTCCCCTGAGAGGGAGGGCGTGTGGCCGTGAGTGGCTCCATCTTGTTGCGGACATTTCGTAGATCTGTAGTTATTGTCTTTATCAAGATTGTAAAGGGCACGAATCATATAGGTCATGAAACCTATTATTTTCCACAGTAAAAACTTTTGCAAGCTATTTTTATACCATCCTAGAAACACTGGGTTGTCGTGAACATCTTTCCGCCTCCACTCACGCAGGGAAGCATGGTGAACATTAATGAAAGTACATTATGTTTTTTATACCGTAGTTCATCACAGCAGCAGAGATCCAGATTTTTTTTTCTCTCCCCTTCCCCTCCCCTGTATTTTTTTTTTTTTTTTTAATTTTTGGAGGAGGGATCTTGCTCTGTCACCGAAGCTAGAGTGCAGTGGTGTCATCATAGCTCACACCAACCTCAAACTCCTGGGCTCAAGTGAGCCTCCTGCCTTAGCCTCCCAAGTAGCTGGGACTATAGCCGAGGGCCACCACGCCTGGCTAATTTTTCTATTTTTAGTAGAGATAGGGTATTGTGCTGTTTCTCAGGTTGGTCTTGAACTCCTGGCCTCAGGTGATTCTCCCATCAGGTGGCCTCCCACAGTGCTAGGATTCCAGGCATGAGCCACTGCACCTGGCCTCCTCTTTATAATTTTAAAAATAGCCAATATCATGTCAAAGCAATCCGTCTACTATTTTCCTTTCTCCAGAGGTTAAATAAATCAGGCTCAAAATCTATGAGCCTATGATGACAAATACTAATTGATGGCTTAACACTCAGGCAGAGGCTTCGAGGTTCAAAAGACACAGAGAGCATTAAAGAAATAGAGACCGTCTCTTTTCCTTCATACAATCCCACACTAACCAGCACAGAGCCCAGTGCTCCGTTAGTGTGTAGGGCTGCAACGAGACACCACGTACAGCTGGACACGCAAAGCCACGTTTCTGATATTCACAGCTAGGTCCACCCTGGGAAGGTGTGGGCTGTATTGGTTGCAGGGATCCCATCTTTTCCCTAGGAACGGGACTGGGCAAGCCGTGCAGAGAACAACACTGTGCTCTAGTGGCCAGAGGTCAGAATTGAAGTCAAGAAGCTTTGTCCTCCTGGTACTTACTGTCAGCGATCCCAGAACAATCTACTGTCCCAAAGCGAGGGAAATGACTGAGTCAACTTACTGGACAAAATCCAGGCCCAAACAACCCCAGTTTTGTCTCACTTTTCCAGATAGTGACAGCTGCATGGTGTGACCCAGCCACTGGGTTAGTGAATCATGTATTTCATCTGCTCCTAGTTCAGCTTCACTAAGGGCCAATTCAAGAAGTTTCTGTCTCTATTAAATATGTATGTCATTTTTCAGTGGTTAAACGAGCACACAATATCTCCTTGTCCACCTCATAGACTTATGATGAAGATGAAGTACAAGTATAAAAAAACAATTTAAAACAGGGGTCCTCAAACTTTTTAAACAGGGGGCCAGTTCACTGTCCCTCAGACTGTTGGAGGGCCAGACTATAGTTTAAAAAAAACTATAAACAAATTCCTATGCACACTGCACGTATCTTCTTTTGAAGTAAAAAAACAAATGGGCAAAAATACCCGCATGTGGCCCGCAGGCTGTAGTTTGAGGACGCCTGTTTTAAAAGTATAAAACTCTGAACAAATGTGTCATCATTGACAAAAATACATGTTTCTCTGGTATTATTTAAAACACATCTTTAAGTCAATTCTGTGTTTTAGGATTTTTACCTAAACATACAGCATCATAATTTATATATATATATATGTGGGGGGGTGTAATGAAAACTAATGTATATATATAAAAAATCTTTATATATAAAATTTATATATATAAAATTTTTAATATATAAAATTTATATATATACAAAATTTATATATATATAAATGAAAAGTAATTTATATTCTATGTAATTACTTCCTCTCTGGCCTACTGATAAAAGTCTCATCATGAAGAAAATGCTTTATTGGCAAATTTAAACTTTGGGCAGTACATGTCCCTACCCTCTTACGATCTGTGCCCAGGGATTCCCAGGGTGGTATATAACGCGCCACGTTTCCAGAGCGCCCACACAGAATGTCCATTTCTGTCTATTGCCCCTGTGCAACCGCTATTATTAATACCAGCACACGTGTGTTTGGTATAGACAGAAAAGGACACTAGAGAATATTGGCCTTACCTCAGTGGAGTTAAAGTTTCAGACCCAATACCGCCACCAATGTGCTTTAAATCACTC